CAGCCTTTCGGTCCATTTCGCTCATGTGTTTTGTTTAATGCTGGAGGGCTAGGTGCTGGGTGTTTTCGGGCTGTGGGTTGGCACGAATGGGTAAAAGTCTGAAGCTGCAACGTGAACCCATGAAATGAAACTCGGGCGGAGTGTTTTTGCTGTTTAGCTTGCCAACGCCCCTCATCGATCCAAGCGTTATAGATAAATGAAGAACACAAGTTCGAAAAGACATAGGCAAGCAGCGTGCAAGAGCAGCAACGTGAACAGTTATCATGACCACAAAACCACGAAATCGTTTTCAGAATAGCAGTGTAGGATTTTTTGCTCGTGTCATGGATCCATGAGCAAACCGCATTTTAAATGTAGGCAAGCAGCACGCAAAGAAAACAAAGCAAAGCGAAAGCCAAGTCCAAAAGACAAGATAAAATAGGACGTCGGATTATTCGGCGTGTGCATCTTTAAAGTTTTTTGACAATATACATATACGAGCGTTTGATAGGAATGAAACAAACGCAACGAAAGAGACCCCAAAAGTCCCCGCTATGTCCCGGCTATTTTGTATAGTGTAGTGTAGTATAGAGTTTCTTGTAGTTTTAACATTCGTGTTAGTACTATTATTGGTCTTGGTCTTGGTGCTGGTACCTAGTCTGGCAACGGTGAAGTATTCGTGTAGTATCAGCATAGTACTCGTATGGTATCGAGGAAAAGTCACAGCGTCCTTGCAAGGGCCTTGCTTTCGGATCGCGCTAACACAAAATATAATGAACATGAGCAATGCCAGCACTGCTAAGAACGCTATTGATATGAATAGTAAACATGGTGATATTGTTATGCGTGTGTGGGCCACAGAACTGCCTACACCATGTGTTTGTATAAGTGGATTCACTACTTTACACCGTTGCCTGGTGACTTCTTTGCTTGCACAAGCAAAACTACTTAGTTCTTATTGATTTAATGTACGGTTGCCCAGTGATTCAGTTCCTACGTATTGTGGGTCACAACGCTCCCTACACCATGTGCTTGTATAAAAATATGTACTTGGTTCTCGCAACACTCATTGATATCATATACAGTTTCCCAGTGATTTCTTGAGTTTTTCTACTATCCCTATGTGGCGTATGCCACAACATTCCCTACACCATGTGTTCGTAAATTTACCTGGTTCCACACCACATACTGATTTAATATACGGTGGCCTAGTTATTTCGCTCTGCGGCGTGGGCCACAAAGTTCCCTGCACCACGTACTTCTAGAAAAATATGAGTTTACTTGGTTTCTAAATCACTCATTGGTTTGCACGGTTGCCCGAAAGAGTCTCTAGAATACCAAAACCCAAAGTATTCCAAAATAAGCCGAAAGGATCACCGGAAAAGCCCTGGAAGGCTTGTGCTAGAGTATTCCAGAATCGCTGAAGCGCGCAGCCGTAGAGTATCCTCGTAAAGTCCCTAGAGCGCACAAGACCAAACTATGCCCAAAGAGTCACTGGAGTACTAACCGCAAACCATCCTGCAGCTAAAATACACCTCAAGAAGTAAACCTTTCTTCATGTTTATAGGAATGGTCCCAATACTACTAATATCAGTAGCGTGATACTAGTATTATATTCAGCAATGTTCGGTGTAGTAGGCGTATTAGCTTACTAGCATGATCAATAGCATAACTAAAAGTAAATGGTACAAGAAATTGCAATTCCATTTACAACATTACCAAGCTTACTAGTGTCATAAATTGTATTAGGTTTGCTAGCACTCATGTTACTCGCATTAATCATATTACTAAATGATCTCATATTATAATCTTATCGGACTAATCATGCCACAGGGGCTAATGACGCTATGGTACTATTGTTAGTGACATTATTGAGTTTCCCAGTGGTGGGCTAAAAAACATTGCTCACAACACTGATGTTGCACCCTCTTTAGACCTGCCCCCCCCCCCCCTTTCTTGTTCCTGTTTACACTGTCCAGGGATATATACGAATTTATTAGAGAGGAGGTAGGATAAGTTTACAGGGCAGCGATGCCCAGCAATCCTTTATAAAGGCGCGCCACGTGGAATTTTCTTACGGCGCCCGGACGGTTTGCCTTTATTCAGGATCCCAACGCGCGCCCCCAAACCCAAACAGTCGGAGTGTCCTGAACAGCCCAGCCATTTTGACTTTATTCAGGAGGCCCCTACTAAAGAGTGCGGAACATTAATAGTACTCGCACTAGTCATATGGCTAATCTGACAGATAGTGCAGTTTCGTAGTAGACTTGTCAAAAGACATATGCACTACCAGCAAGATTAGGATGATTAGGATTGTCGTGATGTTAGTGTTAATTAGCAATCCTGCCAACACACTGCAATGTTCTTTGGTGATATTGAAGTCACGAACTGTCAAATTGGGAGCATAAGATGTGTCAAACTTATGCTTAGCACAAGTAATCCTCGACTTCGAATGTTCCGCACAACACGCCATGCTTTTTGCTTGTATTGACAGCTCGCGCTAGGACTAGTACTTATATTGCGAACATTTCCAATATTACTCACATAAGTCTATTATGTTCATAATGTTAGTTGTGCTTCCAATGCTAGGAACACCAGTAAGCATACTATTGCCATCGCATCAGCATTATAAAGATCACAAACACTAATAAGTGAACAAGCCGCAACTGCAGAAAACAAGTGCATTTTAGATATGCAACACCGGTGTGGAGGGTTGATCGTTTTGTTGCATCCAAACGGATAAATAGGTTAGATGTGCGACTTGTCTAAAACACAAGCATCAACAGTAATGGTATCCACAGACACAAGGCGAAGTTGACTCTCAAGTAGAACTTATGGTTCCTACAAAAGTATAAATATACACTTATATACTAAATTGTTTATATTCCGTATTTAAAGCGAAAAGAAAAACTCTATGCTAAATAAACCCTAAAGGTTCCGGGCTCATATATGTATATATATATATATGGTACCCATCCCCCACCCCAGTGACCTACCCTTTGTCGCCTTGTCTCAAGTCACCCAGCTGCACTGCAAGCAAACTCGGGGTGCAATATAGCATATTTCCTAGGGCGTAGACTGAAATAAACTAAAATCCGAATACACGGGACAGTTAAACAACTAAAAATACAACAACCAAAAAACACAAAAAACAACAAAACCAAAAACAAAAAAAAACAAAACCAAAAAAAAATTCCCGGAACTCTCAGGAATCCCTACGAGATTTCTCCAAGAGTTCCGGAAAATTGTTGTTTTTGGTGTTTTTGGTTTTTTTGGTGTTGTTTTTTTTGATTTTGGTTTTTTTGTTTTGGTATTTTGGTTTTTTTGGTTCGCCTTTACGAGGCAATAACTACGCATTTTAAGTGTGTTTTTGTATTTGCGAATTTGCTTGTGTATGGCCTGCACTAAGTACTTTTCTAGGAAGATTGTGCATTTTTGAGCTTGCGTATGCAAATTGTGCCTTTCGGACATAGTAGATAAGTGGTCTTTATGAAATACTTCAGAAATCTTTGTTTCATTCATATGTAAGTAGAATCGCTTCTATTGCCGTAAGTTCGTATTTTGGTTGAGTATGGTCCATTAAATAGTATTCACTTGAGTCAAATTGGGCTATTTACTTAACAATGAATTACTCTAGTCGATAAATTCGCATAGACTGAATATTTCAAATATAAAGAAATGTTTCATGAATATGTAAACATAAGATATTTCAGTTGACTTTTCAGGTAGAATTTGATTATTACTTTGCTAAGTACCAATGCTATTTATGTAAAAAGGAGTATTCTTGTGCTATGGCCTTTACTAATTACTTTGCTAGGAAGCGGAAGGTATATAATTGGTCTCTATTTAGTACTTGAGGAGTCCTTTTCATTGTTATGTAAGTCGAACCGCTTCTATTTCCACTAGTGCGTTTTTTCATATTTTAGTTGAGCATGGTATTTCAAATAGTATTCATCCGAGTCAGATTGGGCTATTTACTGAATAATTACTCTAGTAGATAAATTCGCATAGAATGGTCATTTCAAAATACAAAATATTTCTTGAATATGTAAACATAAGATATTTTAGTGGACCTTTCAGATAGTATTTGATTAATGCTTTGCCTAGTACAAATACTTTTTATGTAAACAGCAGTATTCTTGTGCTATGGCTTTACGAACTACTTTTCTAGGAAGGTATATAAGTGGTCTCTATTTAGTACTTGAGAAGTCTTTACATTGTTATGTAAGTAGAATCGCTTCTCTTGCCGTTAGTGTTTATTTCGTTTTTTCGTTGAGTATGGTATTTTTAGTAGTACTCACTTGAGTTAGAACGGGCTATTTACTTAAGACTCTCGTCGTTTATTTCGCATACAATAAAAAATGTTTCATGAATGTGTAAACATAAGGTATTTCAGTGGATTTTTCAGATAGTATTTGATTAATGCTTTGCCTAGCACAAACACAATTGTATAAAGCAAAACAGTTGCTCAACAAAGCATTATTTGCCCTTTAAACGCACAATTTGCCTAGAAAAGCCAAAGACCTAAACACCTAAAAACAACATTTTCCGCTTCAGATTCAAAATATAGATTAATCCAATGCTGGCTTATCGGGGCCTGTGAGGTGGGTGTCCCAATAACTGTCCTTCATTTCCTGGTGATTAACTACGCGACTTTTGGGCCTTCGTTGTTATTTCTTTGTTAAAAAGGCCTAAAATGGGTAGGTAGCTGGGGGGGGGGGGTCAGCATATATATATATATATATAAGTATATGTATATATGTGTGTGTATATATATATATATATATATCTATTTATATGATTTAACAGAACCCATCAAGCGTTGAAACGAATTCAGGGCTTGGGCTCTTCTTCGTTATACAATAGAATGAGGCAACATGAAACACATTTAAGTTGTTGGATGGAGTACATGTTGTGCGGCAGCGTGAATGACTTGTGAACTTACAGCAATAAGATATACACCGCCGGGCCTGGGCAATCACTTCACCTTTTGCTTTGTGCTGTGTAGCTGAGGGTTTATCATGGCGGTGTTGGGCGGGATGTTGAGTGTTCGTGTGATTTCTGGTGATGAGGTGGTCTCCATGCCGATGGCGCAATTTGCGGAGATGACAAAGCTAGAAGAACATCCAGTACGTTATTTGAAACAGCTCGTTGGTGATGTGCGCAGGCTCTCCAGATTCAGGCTGCGGCTGCTTCAGAACGGCATCGAGTTGGATGATGGCACTCTGCTCGAGGGACAAGCAGATCTAGAATTGGTGCAGCTGACCTTCTCTTCAGCCTCAGACGCGCAAGTGGCAGAACTTGTTGCAGCAGCAGGAGACAACGAAGTCGCGGAGGTCGAGCACATACTAGGCAGACCTCAGAATCCAGACTTGGGTAATCCATCGCCTCTTGTGAAAGCTTCGTTCGGTGGCCACTTGGAAGTTGCCCGCCTCTTGCTGGAAGCCAACGCTGATCCTGACATGATGAGGCTAGGTAGGCCTTGGGTATATTTTATATTTCCCTTCTTGGGGTTTAAGAGGATCATGTTCAGGAACCCTAACCCCTAACCCTTTTTCAGAGGTTTTTTTTTGGGGTCAGCCCAGGAGCCCCTTGGTGTTTGCTTCCATGTGTGGTCATGTTGAAGTGATCAGCCTGCTCCTCGAGCGCCGGGCAGACAGCAACAATGGATGTCCTTTGCACGTTGCCGCCAAAAACGGCCATGCAACCATTGTTCGCCTACTGCTTGCAGCTGGTGCAGAATTCGACAAGCAAGTCGGCACTACAGGCTCGACCCCGTTGCATCGCGCAGCACTTCGTGGCCATTTGAGCGTTGTCCGTGCGTTGCTCGACGCGAGGGCTGACCCGAACCTAGAAAACGAGCAGGGGGAAACCCCTTTGTTCAGGGCTGTGCGCAAATCCCACTACAGTATTGTTTGTGCCTTGCTAGAGGCTGGTTGCAACAAGGACAAGGCAGACAGCAGTGGCGAAACTCCTTTGTCGACGGCTTGCTTAAACAATCACTCGCAAATGGTCCATTTGTTGCTGGCGGCGGCTGCTGATGCGAATGAGGTGTCAGCTTATGGCCAGTCGTTGCTGCATTTGGCAGCATTTGCAAGTGATCCGGAAATTGTCGACTTGTTGCTTGAGGCAGGGGTGGACAAGGACAGTGTACATTCAAACGGCGAGACCCCGTTGCACATGGCTTGTCGTTTCGACAGAACAGAGAATGTCCGCGCCCTCCTCGAAGCAAAGGCAGACAAAGATAAAGCCACCAAGGACGGCGAAACCCCTTTGCATATCGCTTCTCGCCAGAGCATTTCGAAAGACATCGTCCGCCTCCTGCTAGAAGCAAAGGCAGACAGGGACAAGTTTGATGGCTCTAGCAACACGCCCCTGAAAGCAGCCCTAGAGTGCAACTGTGCAGCGGCTGTCCACCTTTTGCAGGACAACACGGGAGTTCATGAACCCGAAGCTGATCAGACAAAGACCTTTGGAATCTGGACACTGTCCCTTGCAGCCGTGGTGGTTCCCATTGCTGTTCTGTGTGCTCAGCATGCTTACACCTTGCAGAGAAAACCATGCTGCGTTTGCAGTAAGTTGCGAGTCAGGAGGCGGTTCTGCTACGAGATGATGATACCGTCCACCCCCAAAGCCTATACCATCAAACGAAGCCTTCATCAACCCGAATCAACCCCGAGCCCCACACCTCTCAGCTCCCAACTCGCAACCTTAAACCCTGGACCCTAACCCCTAAACTCTCAACCCTGAGCCCTCATCAACCCTTTCCCCTTCGACCCAAAACAAAGCCTTAAGCAATCATCTGTGTAGAGTTTGCGTTTTCGGTGGGGGGGAGGGGGGTGTAAGGTAGGGTTTAGGGTGTAGAGTTACACATGACACCATCCAAGACCGACAGTTCTCACAGTGTGACATGCCGAAGCACTTAAACCCCAACTTGGCGCACGGGCGGTGGGTAGTTAATCCCGAAACCCTATAGTAAACTCCATATAGTTTGGACATGGTTTAAGAACGGCTAGTGCTGGGATTCCCTTTTGCAACCCTCTTGGGGTATGGGGATCGTGATGTTCCAGCAATTCTTTTTAAGGGTATAAGGAGGGACCCCTATTCCCCTGTATAACCCTATACATACCTTATATAGTCCCTATATGCCCAGGTAGCCCCAAAGCAACCCCTAAATTACCCCTAAGGTCCCTAAGAATGGGTCCATCCTTTAGTCCCTTAGGTTTAGGGTTTAGGGTTTAGGGTTTAGGGTTTAGGGTTTAGGGTTTAGGGTTTAGGGTTTAGGGTTTAGGGTTTAGGGTTTAGGGTTTAGGGTTTAGGGTTTAGGGTTTAGGGTTTAGGGTTTAGGGTTTAGGGTTTAGGGTGATATTGGGAATGTGCTGTAAACCTGAAACCCTTTAGGCGTATAAGTCGCCTTCCTCCCGCTTGTGCAGAGTAGGGATGGCTGGTATGCCAGCATCTGACATGTTTGCTGCATTGAATGTGTGGGTTCATCTGGATGGTTTAGGGTTTAGGCTTGAGAGTTCAGGTTTTAGGGTTTAGGGGGTTTAGGGTTTAGGGTTTACTAAACCCTAGGGTTTTGGGCTTAGGTTTTAGGGGGCCGTCGCGTCTCAGAGGCACATACGAAGGGCCCTTTGCTAAGCCCTAAGCCCTAATCCCTAAAGCCTAAGCCCTAAACTGGAATGTAGGGCTTTGGGGCGAAAATGCCCTCGTTCACGAGGCCTGGATGACGAAGCGAGGCTGGCCGAAAGCACCGATTGGTTCGGGAACCATTCTCCGGCACAAAAGCCTGAAATCCACAAAGCCCAAGACTAGTCACCTTAAACCCTAAACCCTAAACCCCAAACCCCAAACCCCAAACCCCAAACCCCAAACCCTAAACCCTAAACCCTAAACCCTACACCCGTTTGATCATCGAACTTGCGGAGCCGGGGTGCTTCTTCCGTGCACTACCTGCTACCCAGACCCGAAACCCCCAAAATCGTCCAAACCTCCTTAGGGTTTAGGGTTTAGGGTTTAGGGTTTAGGGTTTAGGGTTTAGGGTTTAGGGTTTAGGGTTTAGGGTTTAGGGTTTAGGGTTTAGGGTTTTGGCAGAGAGCCTCTGGCTACATTTCTCTTCGCCTAGGGCCTAGCGGGGGGGGGGGGGGGGGGGGGGGGGGGGGGGGGGGGGGGGGGTGGGGGGGGCCGGGGGGGGGGGGACTGAGGATGGGCACTGGCTTGCCCATGGCCGTCCTAAATCAATTTCAGGGCGATCAAATGGGTGCATTCCCTAAACACCCACCGGAAGAGAGATGAGGGTTTATGGCAGAGGGTTTAGGGTTTTGGGTTTAGGGTTTAGGCTTTAGGGTACCTACTTGGAGGCTCATGGTTCTTATAACTCTCAAAAAAAACAGTGGCTGAAACCTTTGCCTTCCGAGGCAACAATTTGGAAGACCATGTGCCTCAGTACCCTCAACTCCAAAGCCCGTCACCTAGGTTTAGGGTTTAGAGTTTAGGCATCCCTACATGTCGAACCTTACGCCCTAAGCACTAAAACCCGAAAGCCCAGGAGCCTCATAGCACAAAAGTGCAAGCTGCTAACGCAAACCCCGAATTTCAAATTACCTACGGTTTCGCGGGGTAGAGGGTTCATGGATGAGGGCGGGGGGGGGGGGGGGCTGTAGCTCAAATTTCAGGGGGTCATGACCTGCTGCACTAGTCCCGAAAGCCCTGAACTTCAACAAGCCTTCTAAAGATTATGCCCTGCTGTAATGTTGGACCTGGTTTAGTGGGGGGCCTCCTCCATAAAAATTGGCTGAATTATTCAGGACGCCCTGACTGTTTGTGGGTCCTTGTTTAAAGTCAAATCGTCCGGGCGCCGTAAGACAATTCCACGTGGCGCGCTTTTATAAAAGACTGCCGGGCATCGCTGCCCCATTTAAACTTATCTAAACTCCTCCCCATTCAAATCCCCGGGGCCGTCTAAACTGGGCAGAACCCAGCCTCGACTGTTCGGGGTTCGGGAGGGGGGGGGGGGTCACACAGTAAAGAGGGTGCAACATTGAGCCCCAAACCCTAAACCCTAAACCCTAAACCCCAAACCCTAAACCCTAAACCCTAAACCCCAAAAACCCCTAACCTTTAGCATGGAACCCTCAAGCCCTACGGCCAAGTTCTTGAATTCGCCCCTGCAAGATATATGCCCTCCCCTCTTGCATCCTAAACCTTAAAACATTAAAGCCCGCACGCCCTTCGAAGCACCAAACCCTAAACCCTAAACCCTAAACCCTAAACCCTAAACCCTAAACCCTAAACCCTAAACCCTAAACCCTAAACCCTCGACCCTCAACCCTCAACCCTCAACCCTAAACTCCAAAGCCTGCGTCGCCTACGTCGAAGAGGCTGCAAGTGCACCTACCGCTACGGGGGCCTGGAGGTGGAAGCACAAGAGTTCCCACCGAAGCTTGGCAGCCCTAGTGGTGTGAAACCCTAAGCCCTAAACCCTAAACCCTAGCCCTAAACCCAAACCCCAAACCCTAAACCCTAATTAAACCCTAAACCCTAAACCCTACATAGGCAGAAGCCATGTGCAGGATCCCTGGGCCTAGGAACCAGGCATTGCAAGAAACCTCCGTGACATCAACGCAGTATTCTTGCGGTGCTTACATTTCATTTTTTGCATAGCGCACATGAGTTGCACATCCTTGTGAGGCCTGCAAAGCTAAACCCTAAACCCTAAGCCCCACCCCCCCAACCCCTAAACCCCAAACTCTAAACCCTAAGCCTTAAACCCCAAAACCCAAACCCCAAACTCTAAACCCTAAACCCTAAACCCTAAACCCTAAACCCTACACCCTAAACCCTAAACCCTAAACCCTAAACCCTAAACAAACCCTAATCAGCCCTGAGTCATCTAAACCCTTTGCCCCTAACCTCAAGCTTCATTGAAGCCTCAGAAGGTCTCGAAGCCCAAAACGTCCCAAATCCAAGGGTGTAGGGGTGTAGGGTTTAGGGTTCAGGGTTTAGGGTTCAGGGGCGTGGAATCGTAAATCAGGTTCATGATTGAGCTGCTGCGGCACTCCATGTGCCTTGGGCCATGCAAGTAGCACAACTCGAGCTGCGGACTTTAGGACTTGAGGGAGGGTTTAGGGTTCAGGGTTCAGGGTTTAGGGTCTAGGGTTTAGGGTTTAGGGTGTAGGATTGAGGGCGAGTTGCCACTACTAACCGCTTTCAATGCGCACCTGATTATCACATATAGCCCAGTCCCAGCATGCACCTTCCAATTCAAACAGGCCAATCTGTTCCAGCTTTGCTTTTTTGACCCTAAACCCTAAGCCCTAAACCCGAAACCCTAAACCCATGGGAGAGGTTGAGGATTTCGTACATGCCGCTTCTAAGAAGCGTTTCCACCAAGCTTCGCGCGCCTGATTGAGCCTCACCCCACACACACAGGCACCCTGACCCTGAACCCTAAACCCGAAAGCCCAAACCCCCCAAGCCACCCAAGAACTACACCCTAGCCGAGAATACGTCCACTTTCCAAGTTTCCTTGAGGCCTAAACCCCAAACCCCAAACCCCAAACCCCAAACCCCAAACCCTAAACCCTAAACCCTAAACCCTAAACCCTAAACCCTAAACCCTAAACCCTAAACCCTAAACCCTAAACCCTAAACCCTAAACCCTAAACCCCACCCATTCTGATGCCTGCACATCTGGCTTGTAATCCCCAGGCCCCACCAAGCCCCAAGCTTCTAAGCCCTACGCCCTAAGCTTTAAAAGCAGCCCTAAGCCCTACGCCTTATACGCCCTAAGACCCTAAGCCGTATAAGCCCTAAATCCCAAGCCCGAAGCCCGAAAAACTAAAAACCCCAAACCCCAAACCCCAAACCCCAAACCCCAAACCCTAAACCCTAAACCCTAAACCCTAAACCCTAAACCCTAAACCCTAAACCCTAAACCCTAAACCCTAAACCCTAAACCCCGACCTCAACCTGGCCTCGGGGGCCTCGAAAGTTCTTGGCCGACGAGGGAGTCAGGGATTGAAGGGGACTGGTGCTTCTATTTTAGGGTTTAGGGTTTAGGGTTTAGGGTTTAGGGTTTAGGGTTTAGGGTTTAGGGCTTTGCTTCCCTGCCTTTCGGGTTTAAGGGTTCAGGGTTCAGGGTTCAGAGCTCCCCTACTTGCAGAACCGGTACGCCGAGGCACTTCTGCGGCATAGGTGAGAGGGAGTGGCCCGACTCCTGCAACCTCAACTACTACGAGGTGGCCATGCTTGGTGATGTTGAGGGCATTGGGGTTCAGGGGTTTAGGGTTCAGGGGTGCAGGGTTTAGCCTCTAGGTCCCTGTTTGGAGTTCGGGTGCCCGGATTTCGGGGGTACTATTTGGGTACCTAACTAAGTTGCCTTTCAAGAGCCAGTAAGCAAGGGGTTCGGGATGTAGGGTGAAAGGTTCGACACTAGGGGGCGTTCAGGTTTGGCGTTTAGGTTTCAAGGTTGAGGGGCATGTGTATGTATGCATGCATGTATGTGTGTATGTAGGTCTGTATCACTGAGCCGTTTTCAAGCTTTCTTGTGAGTTCAAAGGGCCATATCGACCGGTAGGGGCTCCGAATCCACAAAAGGATAAGCATCTAAAAGCCTTTTGCCCACTCCCGCCGCTGCCCCTGACTAGGATGGTGGAGCCTCAGTTGGCTGGCACGCGGACGATGAGCACCTCTTCCAGGGCAAGCTGCAAGACATCCGCACCCTGGGCTTTTCTCAGTTTGGCTGCGGTCTTGAATTGTTTGTTGGGTTTGAGTGGGGGCAAGTGGTCTGGGGGTGGGCTGAGAGAGATTCGTGGTGGCACCGGTTAAGCAATCAACCTCGCTAATTGGAGAACTATCCCCGAATCTTACAGGTGTCGGGTACATGCGTTTTTGGAGAGCATGCAAAGGATGCGCTAACGGCCACCAAGCCCCCGAAGCCCCACAACCAAAACCTTCTTGCAGTTCGCATGTGCCAGCGGCCCTTGGGGTTCAGAGTCACTATGAAGTTATACAGTTATACATGCTGTTTTCTGTAGTAGGTTCAGTCAGTACTGCCCCTGTTCGCAAGCAACCCTAAACCTCGAACCCTCAACCCTCAACCCTCAACCTTCAACCCTCAACCCTCAACCCTCAACCCTCAACCCTCAACTCTCAACCCTAAACCCTAAGCCCCTAAACCCTAAACCCTAAACCCTAAACTCTAAACCCTAAACCCTAAACCCTAAACCCTAAACCCTCAACCCTCAACCCTCAACCCTCAACCCTCAACCCTCAACCCTCAACCCTCAACCCTAAACCCTAAACCCTAAACCCTAAACCCCAAGCCAATCCCAAGGCATCGTGTCGCTGTCTTTTGGCCAAGCCCGCAGCTTCGAGCTGCGAAGAAACTGGCCGGAGGCCAGCCTTCACCCTCATGGCCCTGAACCCTGAACCCTGAACCCTGAACCCTGAACCCTGAACCCTGAACCCTAAACCCTAAACCCTAAACCCTAAACCCTAATCCCTAAACCCTAGACCCTAGACCCTAAACCCTGATCCCTAAACCCTAAACCCTAAACTTACCTGGTCTGAGGGTTCTGGGTTCATGGAGTCAGGGCCTCAGCCCTTTGGGAGTTAGGACTTCTCGGTGCCTGGATCTAGGAGGATCGGACTATTTCAGGTGGTGCTTTGATTCTCCTTGCCAAAGCGGTAAAATGCGCCTGCCCCGATGGCCGCATGGGTTTTTGAGTCTAGGGTATAGGGTTTGGGGTTTGGGGTTTAGGGTTTAGGGATTAGGGTTTAGGGCTTAGGGTTTAGGGTTTGGGGTTTAGGGTTTGGGGTTTAGGGCTCCGGGTCCCAGAGAAGGTATATTTCAAGGCCCGGCCGGTTTTTGCATGTAGCGGTTCACCTCTTTTGCTTAGGGCCTGGCTCATGCCTTCAAACCCCCGGCCCTGAAGCCTCCAACCCACGCGGCCTAAACCCTGAACCCTAAACCCTAAACCCTAAACTCTAAAACCCTAAACGCCCTAAACTCTGAAGCATGAAGCTGCCACATCCCGAGCAGGGAGACGAGCCGGGGGTTGAGAGGATTGTGCGCCCAGACATGCATCCGGAAGGTTTGGGGTTCAGGGTTTAGGGTTTAGGGTTTAGGGTTTAGGGTTTAGGGTTTAGGGTTTAGGGTTTAGGGTTTAGGGTTAGGGCTGAGGGCTTTTTCCTAGTCTCCTCAACCTTTGTAAGCCCTTAAGCACTTGGCAGCTTACAAGCAGTTTGTCTTGCGGGTTTCCGGCTAGCGCCTTGCATGTTGCGGTTCTCAGAGTTTGGGGGTTTATCGGGTTTGAGGATTTAGGGTTCAGGGGCTTTAGGGTTTATGGTTTAGGTTTGAGGGCTGTGGGGCGTTAGTGTTTCATGTGCAAGGGGTTCAGGGTTCGTTTGGGTGTCGCTCGTGGATGTGGACTCCACGGTGCTTGTGTCTTTTCGGCTTGACAGACAGCGGCCTTCTGTTGGATTTCCCTAATTTAAACACCGATTGCTAAGCGCCAAGCCCAAAACTCGCGTGCCCCCGCTTCAAGCGTGGGTTCTCTTGACCCCAAGAACACCTTTTGTACCCTACGTACCCTGTACCCTAAACCCTAAACCCTAAACCCTAAAGCCTAAACCCTAAACCCTAAACCCCAAACCCCAAACCCTAAACCCGAGCCTCGAAGCCCCGGTGCAGCTTTCTGAGTGGCGTGCACCACGAGTTTCGGCACTGAGCTCTTGCGCTTATCTTGATACCCTAAACTCTAAACCCGAAACCCTAGATCCTAAAAAACCCTAAGCCCTAAACCCTGAGCCCTAAACCCTAAACCCTAAACCCTAAACCCTAAACCCTAAACCCTAAACCCTAAACCCTAAACCGCATCCTTCTTGTGCGAGGTTGAGCAATGGTGACCTGATGACCATGGAGGGAACCTTGGCCACGATATGATTGAACCCGCAACGTGTTGAGAGCCCTGAATCCCCTCGAAAACCCTGTAAGCTTTAACCCTGCGCCCTAAGGGTTTAGGGTTTAGGGTTTAGGGTTTAGGGTTTAGGGTTTAGGGTTTAGGGTTTAGGGTTTAGGATGTAAGAGAGGTCAAGGGGCTTTGTTGTGGAGCTCCGCCATGTCCTGCTGACCTATTCAAAGAAAGCCTAAACCCTAAACCCTAGACCCTAAACCCTAAACCCTAAACCCTAGACCCTAAACCCTAAACCCTAAACCCTATTCAAAGAAAGCGGTTTCGAAAAGCCGAGGCATGACCCAGAAGCATTACCAACATCGTGTTCCCAAAGAGAGCTGCAAGGGGCCGAGGATCAATCTCACGTGGCGCCTTGTCTGTAGCAGATCTTTAGCGGTTTTGCTGGACATGGGGTATTTTCCAAACAGGGCAAATAGGGCAACCCCCCCCCCACAGGACATGGGTTATTTCCCAAATAGGGCAACTCCCCCCCCCCCCCCACACTAGTCTTATCCTTTTTTCCTCTAGGAATCCCTGACAAGAGTACCTTGTCCCCACACAAGTTTCACAATAGCGCGAGAAGCCCTATATCGGGGTTTTTGAAATTTGGGGTTGGGGTCCTCATAAAAAGGGAATCCTACTATTTGGGGTCTACTCAGAGCCTCCCGATACTCCTTAGTTGAGGAAAATTCCTTAAACCATACGAAGAACCCCATTCTATTTTCAGAAATATTCCCTAATTTTAACGCTACACGACCCGCCTCGGCCCGATTCCGCGCCGAAGTCGCTGGACCCCAAGCAATAAGGGTTGAGTTTAGGGTTTAGGGTTCCGGGTTTATGGTTTATGGTTTGGGGTTTAGGGTTGAGGGTTAGTTTAGGGTTGACGGCCTAGGGCTCAAGGTTCACGGTTTGGGGTTTGGGTTTTTGGGTTTAGGGTTCAAGAGGAACCTCAAGCAAGCGGGAGGGGTGGGGGGCGGGATGGGGGGGGACGGAATGAGGGGTGGGAAGGGGGGGGCCTGCTGGGCGGGGCTTCAACTGCCCCTGGTCTTGGCGAACCGTCCGC